TCTCCCTGTGGATATGCCTGGGATGGTGCAAAGGCACTGCGCGTCGTCTCATTCCTCCGCGTTTCTTCTTCAATGGGGGAGGGCGGGAGGCAGGGAGGGGCAGGGGGGAGGCAGTGCAGCTCTCGTCAAAGATGGCGGACACTTTTGACGTCAGCAACAGCTTTTAATAGATATTTGTCAGAAGAAAGAGAGAGAGAGAGAGAGAGAGAGAGAGAGAGAGACTTCAGAAGGTGTTTGTTCAAATCAGCAGCTGCAAAGACAGAAACACAACAACCGATTACTTTTATTTAAAAAAAAAAAATGTTTTCATGCCAAAAAAGGAATAATTCATAATTAAATCAACACAGGATTTTGAATATTCAGGTCAATATCAATCACGAAGCGTTTATTTATTGCTGACTTGGAATATTGTTGTAAATGATCATTTTTTTATAAATGTGTCTTCACAACTTTTAAAATATTATATTTTAATTTAAAGTGTCGCGTTTAGAACCAACCCCTGGTCCGCGGACCAGTTCCAGTCCATGGGTCATTTGGCATCCTTTAATGCTCAGCACCTTGTCTACCAGTCTAATCAGTCTTAAGTCTCCCGCGGACCACACAGAACGGCTTGGCGGGCCGCATTTGGCCCCCGGGCCTTGAGTTTGACACCGACTTGACTTTGCTGTTAATTCAAGTGTGAATGGTTAATTACATCTAAATCATACCTTGTTATGATCATACAAGTGGCATTAGCGCTAGCTAACCTTAGATGATGATGATAATAATAATAATAATAATAATAATAATAATACATTATAAATTCAGCAGCATTACTGCTTCTCCAGCCGATGCCTCTCTTTGGCGCTGTAACAAATGTGTCTTCAGTTGCACTGAAGCGAACCTGTCTTCTAAATTAATGATACCGATATCTCTGCATGAAAAATCTATTTAGGAGAGAGAGAGAGAGAGAGAGAGAGCGTCCAAGGAAGAGGAGAAGGGAGCGGATGGTGTGAACTGACTGTATCTATATCCAAAGAAGGCTCTTTTGGATTGAAAATAAGGAAAGAAAAAATTGAAAAAAAAAAAAAAATTAAATTCACTTTCTCATGTAGACGTCCGTTGGTTTGGGTGTAGTTCCAGTAATGGAAGGGTGGTGGTACATTTGTTGTTTGTGCTCCTGCATCGCCTACACCTACAAGGAAGGTAGAGGGAAATAAATGTTAGCTGCGTACACTCGGCTAATCCTACGATCCTGCCACTCAGTAGCGACAGCAAAATGGCTAAACGTCAAGACTGGTCACCAGATGTGAACCAACAGTAGCATCTTTGGTACATGATATATATATTTTTTTTAAAAATCACAGATTTCCTGTCACCATTTCAATGTTGCTTCTTTTTTTTAACCCCCTCCATAAAGTCGATCTGTCGATGTAAACCTTTCTAGAAGATCCAGGTCTGTTATCTAAAGAGTTTAGTTGTTAGCAACTCTAAAAGAACTTTGTAAAAGAAACACAGGGAACTTGAACAATAAGGAATGGGAGTATGAGAATGAAAAACTGAGTCAAAAATTTTTAAAAATAGAATGTGAGAATGAAAAACTGAGTCAAAAATGTAAAAAAAAGAATAGAATGAATAGAGTTTTGTTCAAATATTTGAACATCTCTAGGAAACAGAAATGATCAAAAATGATCGTAAAGTCTCGGGAAACTTTATCCGGTTGACTTGGTTAGCACCCGATTTTAAATTCTTTCCTCTTTGAATTGTTTATCATCAAATCTCATATCATTAAGTCTCTAATAGTCATGGAGTAAAGGTCAACGCATATTTTAAAAAAAATGAGTGAGGCCTGTCAGTGAGAGACTTTGATTCGTTTTCATTCCAACTTTTTGGAAGTTTGCGCAGAAACCGAAGGGCCACCTACGGGACAAGTGCTTGTGCACGTGCGAGGGTCAGAGGATGACAAGCCTGGCTGCACAGCGGTCGGCTTCTCCGTCAGATTAACTGCAGCGTTGTCTTTCCTCTAACAGACAGGCTCACTCACCCTGAAGTCTCTGCTGCTTTCTGACCGACTCCGACTCTTAATTAAACGGCTAACTGGCAAGGTGGGAGGGAAAGGGAAAAAGTGAAAGACGAGGGTGACAAAGCAAAAATAAATGAATTAAAAAAAAATAAAAATATATTTGAACAGGAGCATGAAATGGCAAAGATTGAGAAAGGACGCATTGTCGAAGATGATAAGGGTGAAGTAAAACAGAGGAGAGAAAAAAAAATTCTCAGTGTGATGGGATGTAAAGTGGGATGTAAACAGTGTCCCTGTGCGTGTGTGTGTTTGGGGAAGGAGGGCAGGATGACAGATGAAAGTAGTCAGCCAGGCTTCAGTGTACTTCAGTGTGGGGGAGGGTGCTGCAGCAGCAGCAGCAGCAGCAGCAGCAGCAGCAGCAGCAGCCTGGCTGTGACTCAGCACTAAAATCTGCCACACTCTATTCTCTCTATTCCTCCCTCTTTCTCTCCCCTCTCGCTCCGAAACCAGCTCTTAGTCATTGTACGGAGCGTGTCATTACAGCCCTCGTGCAGCCGTCTGCTGGTCACGACAGTCGTCTGGACCCTGACTGTCCATCTGACTGTGTGTATTATACAATATATATATATAACCCCTGAGCATAACTTTGACAATATATATATAATAATATATATAACCCCTAAGCATAACTTTGATAGCATGACTCCACAATCCCAACTGAAGTTATTTATTTTCAAGTGGTTTTCTCATTAAAATCTCACTAATTATAAGCTTCCTAAAAAATGCAAAAAAAAAAAAAAATTTTTTTAAAAATTAAATCTGCAATATTGTGGTTCATTTGTCTCATATCAGAACAAAACAAGTAAAAAAAAATTTCCAAATGAGCCTCAGTCAAGACAGCGGCACACAAACGGTTAACGGGGCAACTATTAGAAAATAACAGGAAATATTATAGCTAAACGTATCGAAAATGAAAATTATATTTATAGATTTTTTTTTTTTTATCAAGATGGGTGATTTGTCATTTTATTTTAATCACATGCCACGATTTGTTTGGGAACATAAACTGTGGCAGTGTCCCTTTTCTCCCATTCACGTCGACACATAAAAGACTCCGTTAGCTCAACAGCTCGTGGCGTTGCGGTCGTCTGGATTTACTATTCATGAAACTCGAGAACGTTTACTTCCGTTGCCTACACAGAGCGTCTGTGTTGTCATTTCTACAGAATGAGGCCCAGCATTGGACGTTTACTTCCGTTGCCAACACAGAGCCTCTGTGAATGAGGCCCAGCATTGTCCTTGGGTGAAATGCATTGGTTCCTGGGAGTGGACGTGATCTAAGACGGAGACCTTATCTATGGAATACTTCAACATTTTTCAAATATAGAAACAGGAGCACATGTAGTAAACACACAGACACAGAGTCACAACAAAACATCAGTACTCACCGCTGCCCTGACAAAGATGGAGTGAGTGAGAGAGGTACTTCAACCCAGGTGACTGAGATTACACTGATTACCACACAGATTAGCACACAGATTAGCACAGGTGTTAGTTACTGATCTGCTATTTAAAAAAAAAACATTGAATTAAACATTCAATCAAACGGGTCGAATTAAAAAAAAAAAAAAAAAATCTAAAAAAAAATCTTAATTGTGGGCCACAATATTAAATAAATAATAATTATGTTTATTACTAATAATATTTATTTTTACCTTTTTTTCCTGAATAAAATAAATAAAGATTTAATTTTAAAAAATGACATTATTAAAAAAAATGGAATATTAAAATTAAGTGTTGTAAATTAGTCTCCGTGCAAATGAAAAAATTTCGACCACGAAATTTAACCCATCAGGTAAAGTGATATATAATCAAACATATGGCGCGTGGGCCAAAACCGGCCCGCTCGGAGGTTCAATACGGCCCGCTTGCTGAATGTTGAAATTGAAAAAAAATGCTCATTGCATGTTAGTGATGTTTGGTCAAATCTCATTAAATATCTTTTTTTTTTTTCTTCTAATATTCTTGTACGTATTTGCTGGAAAACAAAGGGTAAAAAACGTGGACTTACAAAACAACAGAAGTAACGAAAGCTCTTTGGTTTCAATTTGACGTCGCGTCCTCCCGCGGACCTGTCGTCGTGAGCGGTAAGCAAATGCACGTCAACAAAGACGCGTGTGAAGAATAGCTTTCTGCCTCGCGGAGCCCCGCTGGGGAAAGTGACATTCAATCTGATAATTGAGGTATTGACAGAGTGGTGAGGATGGATGTCAGAGGAGAAGAATCGATCCACGTCGCTCTGCAGCTCCACACCTCACTGGCTCATTTCATCTCGCTCGCTCCAATCCCGGGCTCCTCCGCGTTTCTGTCTTGTCTTGTCATTAGCCTAGCTTCTTTCAAGTCGTTTACACCCGGGGGGCTCACTTTGTGTCTGGTCTCCCGCTCAGAGTAGAGTGAAATGAAAAACCTTCAGCTTATCACTTAGTATTTGCGATTTGGATTTGTATATTTCAGAAAACCATACTCTCAACCAGGGGTGTCAAACATACGACCCGTGGACCAAAAACGGCACGCTCGGAGGTTCAAAACGGCCCGCTTGATGAAAGTCAAATTTCATAATTTTTTTTTTAATAATATACTTGTACTTATTTGCTGGAAAACAAAGGGGAAGAACATGGACTAGGCTCTGGTGGACCACGTAAAATAATGATGTGGGCTGGATTTGGCCCGCGGGCCTTGGGTTTGACATATGTGCATATTTAAATTCTCTGCCTCAGTTCCACTCCCAATTATTTTTCCTTTTTTTTTTTTTTAAATTTTATCGTCATATATATATCAGCTCACGCACCCATACAAAGTAACACTACGTAAGTCATTGTGTCAGTACTTGTTGCTACTACGATCCCGGCAGAACAGAAGTTGCGAGGGGGCGCTGGTCCAGAATCTAACACGCCTCCTGGCTAGTTCAGTGAAGTGGAACAGTTGCGTCTCCCATGTGTGCATATGTATGAGTAGGAAGTCTTAACATATACAGTCAGGAATTCTGGGAAGGATATGACGGTATGTGTTGA